GGAAACGTAAGAAAATGCATTGTATCTTGAACTATAGATCTCAAGTTCCTCTATCTAAATCAAAGGTGAAAATAAAAATTTCATCTGGACGGCAGGTCATTTTCATGCATTATTTTCCATGTTTTTCGAAGATGACTAGTTTTAAAAGGATTTCGCCTTACACATTATCTGAGAAAAAGACATTCTCCTGTCTTATCTATTGATTGGTGGAAACCACAGGTCTCTAGCTGTTTGCGTTCTCGAATTATTCAAAAAATGGTGACAGGCATTCTATTTTGAAATAGACATTAGTTTTGATTACAACTGGCAGCAAAATATCTGCAACTCTGCAAGCCACCCATAAAAAAAAGAGAACGATTGTAAAAATAGATTAAGTATTTGGCATTTGCCAACGATTTTCGATTTTATTCTACCACAAACTGTACAACTAACAGCTAATGTTGCCTCAATCGATCATTTATTAATACTTGCCCACGAAATTATTCAAAAATCAACTGATTTTCGTTTCAGAAAACAAGTCACCGACATTACCATCGACGAAAATATTGGTAATTATTTTGTAAAACTTATCTACTGCTTCGTTTTTTCTTAAATTTTTCGGAAAATATATATCCTAACTTATTCTAGCTTCAATCAATGATATTTACATGGAACAGCTCTGTAAAAAGCAAGGCATTACTGAACCAATTGTACATAATTCTTCTGGAGATTAAAATCAGCATGTACATGGTACGTTTGATATGTGTTCTACCGATTTTACTCATGAAGGTATATCAGTCAGTTCTTTTAAAATGATGCTTTCAAACTTAAATTCCGAATTCAAATTAGCACACTAAGCTGATGAGCATTTGGCTGGAACAATTCGTAGAGGGCCTAACAAATCTTCACAAACGTGTGTTTTATTCTGGGTGTGGCTGTGGGGTGTGAGTGTTCTGTTTAGATATACCCACACCCACACCCTTAAGGTATATGCATATGAACATGGAAGATATCATAGCACCTCTACTTATTATACAATTGGACATGATATATACTCGATCGCGTTCAATAAAAAAACTTTCAAGCATAAAGGCACGACAACTTGTAGAAAAAAACACAGTGTAATGGTTTATTTACACTAGAAACTTTAATACCGAATTAAGGAACTTGATTCGCTGAAAAGTTAATTCAGATTTAATGCACCAATCAAGAAAGATTGCGATTTATTAATCAAAATGTTCGACAAACCTTGATAAAGTCGCTTTATATTATCAATAGAGAGATGTTTTCAATACGATGAACTATAAGGATAAATGAGAAAGACAACCGATATCTTTTTCTTCATGAACACATGCTATAATTGTATGATTCGACTACGTTATAGTGGGGTCTACGAAAGATGCGCACGACGAAACTTGCGCACGAGCGTGCGGATAGGGTTTAGGAAATAAAACGGACCCATTCAACCTCACTCTTACCCTCACCTGCCCTCGCCCTCACTATCATCCACATCTGCACCCTCACCCTCACTTCGTACCCTCATCCGCACGCTCGTGCGCAAGTTTCGTCGTGCGCATCTTTCGGGATCCCGTTATAGTGGTCATTTCTCAGTTCGGATTGATGCATTAAATTCATAAGTGTAGATGCATGTAGATTTAATTCGAAATTAATACCGAGTTATTTTTCTAGTGCAGACAAGGCCTAACAAAGAAATTCAGCGTCTATAACGTACACAATATTTTTTTTCTTCAGAGCATAAAACAGTGTGCAAATTCTGTTTCATTAGGATACCGTGCATTTTGTTTTACAGGGATACACTCTTTCATTAAGAACACTGAGCTTGATAACTGTTGTCAAATGACATGAAATTTAAATTTAGGAAAATATTTTATCTGAATCAGTATGTCTTTTAGAAGTTTATGAAAACTATGATGAAGCATGTGGTTGTAATAGCTTGACTTTTTGTTTAACATCATTGGTTGAATTTGGTCATTTTAGAGATAATTCATTAACGTATTTTGTTGAAATCAATAGCCAAACAACAACAAGTTTATTTTTAGTGATTGTTGGACCAAGTAGTATGGTATAGTTTTTGACGTATAAATAGTCTATATACTTGTGTCTAATTTTCTTTGAGCTTCTAAGAAATCTAAATACATTCGAAATGTGTACAATGCAACAACAACAGTCAAAAAAACTTATTTAGACAAAAAAGTGAAGCAGATCAGATCAAACCAGCTGCTATTGTGTAAAAATACAAAAGCCTGAAAAGCATTGAAAATCTATCAACACCGCTACCAAATGATGTTTTACGAAAAATTACTTTTATTGAACAAACGTTGGCATATCCTGTAGCGATTCGATCGCTAACAGAATCAAATGTTTTTTCTTTGTGCACCGGAAGGTGATTTTGTCTTGGATCAGTTAAATTTTTTCGATCATAACAAAGACAATATTGCGATCAGAAGGTGCGCAAGTGCGCTTTTTGATGGAAAGTTAATTACAATATCAAATTACCATGACCGTACTAGTATTAGAAACAAAACTTTGCCAAATTGTGTGGGGTCAACAATTGCAAAAAGGCTAAATATTTACATTTATATGATAATTTTACAACAGATGGCTTTCGTCCGCGGTTTCTGTTACATTGTGTAAAACCCAGCAACAACTATTGATGATTAGTAAAACGTTTTTACATTCACGAATCATATTTTTCGTTTTCTAATAATTAATCATGAACATATTAATCACATAGGTATGTAGGATATTTATATAATATGATTGAAAAATGATTAACTACATAATATTTGAACAATACCTGGTATTATAGATATATTTCACGTATTACATAGTCATTGCATATTTATTGACTAAATTTTCAATACCTATACATGAGAACATAGGTAGATATTTACGCATAGTTGCTGTAACCTATTTAAGTGTTGTAAGAGCTAAAACTGACTTGTTCTTATTCTTTCTAGGGTGCAACGAAATTTTCGAATATCCTTAAATTTCAATTATTAGATGAACCAAGCATATATTCTTGTGTTTTCTCGATTTGTGTTGATCATCATGTTGATACACATCATGCTGCATAAGATATTGATATACCGATAGATACTAGTATCGCTATATTTTCAGACCGATTTTGAAAATTTTTCCATTCCTTTTAAGTGTTCAAAGAACACATGAATATCATTTCGTTATTTCTGGAATAATATAACATGATACTTCGAATTCATTAACTTCCATTCTCGTTTCATGGACAGTTATAAATGTAATACCTATATCTTCAAATATGGGGCATCAATATCTGTGTATAAGCTGTTGATATGAGACCATTTAATTATTAATAATTACTCTCTCTCATCAATCTACAGAGTTTAAAGAAAACGTTCCCGTTTCTGTCTCAAATCATTAATGCTTGAATAAGTCAACTATATACGAATCATTACACATAATACTGAGACACGGAATGTCGCATTCGAATTATCATTACCATGGAAAAATGTTGATACTAATTCTCCCGTATTAGTACTCACTACCGTACATAATTCTTTCTCATCATTGCAATAAGAATTAAGCAATGTTTATGTAACACCACTAGCTTTGCATTCCTCTTGATTCTAATACATTGACTCCGTGGAAAACTTTGGATGCTACTTAGGTCATGCCGAAAGTAGTGAGCCCTGCATCTTAATTTCCGATAGAGTGGTTGGAAAAAATTTCTTTTTCTATGAAGAGATAGAGCGTCTTTTGCTGTATCTTTCTATGTTATTTGATCACTATTCAACTCATATCATAATAATAAAATTTTGATAAGATTTATGTCTTTCGCATATGTGCTGGTATCATGAATACTCCTAAGTACTTTTTGAATAACGTTTAATAGCAACAAGATAGAGCACTGCGATTTTCAGCATTGGAAAAAGGAGATGAAGACGCATCGAACTATGTACTACTGATTTTTATAATACGATTTCTAAAGTTTTTTTTTATTCAATTTTCTAACCGTTGAAAAAAATTTTTTTTTTATGACAATAAGAAAAAGCAAAAAACTTGATAGAAAATCATAGTTAGAATACGTATTATCTCTAAATAATTAAATTTAAACATCTGAGTCTTTCGCAGTTTGTAGATCTTCGAGTAGGGGTTTGAATGTGAACCTGATTATTCAATATTCACTGTAAATAACTCACGGGATAGGTTTGCTCTCTGAAAGGTCAACTGAAAACCTTACAAGAAACAGGTTAGAGAAATCAGTAATATGCGGTTCGATGTGTCGTCATCTCCTCTTTCCAACACTGAAAACCGCAGCTCTCTATCTTGTTGCTATCAAACGTTATTCAAAAAATATCCACGAGCATTCATGTTCATGATACCAGCACATATGCGAAAGACACAAATCGTATCGAAATTTTATTATTATGATATTAGTTGAATAGTGATCAAATAGCATAGAAAGATAGAGCAAAAGACGCTCTATCTCTTCATAAGAAAAGAAATTTTTTCCAAGCACTCACTCTATCGGAAATTAAGATACGGGGCTCACTACTTTTGGTATGACCTAAGTATTACTAGCTTACTAAAGCATGTTTGGATGTATTGTTTGTTTCACTTCAATTTCTCCTTCTCACAGCCAACGCACGCTTTATAGCAACCTAGCTTGCATATATGATACTCTAGTTCCCACCTGTTATACTGAACGAAATGTACTCATCATCCTTAGTGATAATTCTGCAGATCAAGTTGATACTCTAATTATCTCTGGCGACGCTACTCTCATTTCTGTTGACCCTACCGTCATTCTTGTTCGGACTATTGTCATTCCAAATGATGATTCCGTTATCGCTGGTGATGCTACCATCATCATTGATGATACTACCATCCTCCAGTGATAATAATATGGCCCTAAGATGTGGAGGTTCTTGTAGGCGGTGGCTTCGCATCTGAAGAACTTCCTCGTGCATGAAAGTATTTGTTTGCAGCTTGTGAAGTCCTAGAGGTAGATTGTTCAATAGATGACTAAAGACTGTATGGCATGAAAATATTATACATCCAAGAGTTACCGATTTAATACTAATGTCTTCGAGGCAACTGATTCCAAATGTACAAATGCTGAAGTATTTGCAAATTTGTAGTATTAGTGTGGACGTATCTCGTTCTTGTCAGAGTTTGTCGTGACAAGGACGGTAATTCAAAACGTCTTGTACACTGTATCAGTTCCAGCTGATATTTCAATTGTTGATATCTCGTGAATAATAATTGTGCATTTATATCTAAAAAAACTGTTACAAGGAAAAATCCATTTAGGACCCTGAGCTTTTCTTTAGATTTCTTAAATTAATATCCTAGGAAATTTGTTATTCATAATTTCATATTAATTAGGAAAAGAAAGACAATTAAATCGTGCAAAACCATCAATTATTCATTTATATATTATACGTGGTATTATGGGTAATCGAATTCAAGCTTTTTCATCCGATGCAAGCAAATATATTGGACCATATTTAAGTGCTTTAAATTCAAATGAGCCATACATCAGCATCAAATGTCGAGCAACAACATCGTACGAAAAGGTTGTCGTAAGACATGGTGCAGAATCAGTTATACAATTAGCTTCTAACATTCAATACAAGAAAGATATTAGTTAAAGTTATATCTCAAGCTCAACAACTTGATTTTTTTAATTACGACCAAAACTTCATTGATCAGGCAACGTCAATTGTCAAAATAATTTTTGGACCATCAAAAAATTTATCAAATGATTTAATGACAGTAACAAATAATTTGAAAATGATGATAACTAAAGAAATATGCAGAGAAACAGTACATCCCAAGACAAGCAATCCTTGCACAGGATTCCGGTCAGGATTTCGTCGGAATCCGATAAAAACTGACGAAATCCGACAGAATCCTATCGGATTTTGAACGTGTCCGATCAGATCCGACAGTCGGAATCCGGTCCATGGGATTCCGACAAAAATCCGACAGGATACAGACGCAATTATTTGAATCCGACAGGATCCGACCGAGCGAGGATCACCTGGGATCTTTCTATTGGTATGTTAATGCCTCAGCACTTCATTTTAATGAATTATTGTGTTAATGATAATAATAATGAGACACCAACAGAAATAAAACATCAAACGGAAATTTTAAAATTACCTTATCATTTTTTGTTTGTTATAAAACTACGTTATTTAGCAATCGAGGTGTCTTGAAGAATATTCACAAAGATGAACTGGACCATTCACTGAATAGATTGGGTCGTCGAAGTATTCTAAAAAAAGGAGAAGTTTATAAAATCATCAAAACAAAGTGGTTCATTTGAATCAGATTTAAGATATTTACTATATGATGCATTAAAAGAAACAGAATTGATATCTGAGTTACAAAAACATGACATACAATTTGATGAATGTCGAGATATGTACAAAATAAGTGCTATTTCGCCAGATGGTACCACTTCAACTGCGAATTAAAAACCTGTAATTTAAAAACAAAATGTTAATTTTATCTCGTTAAGCAATCGTCAAGTACCACATGCTTGACAAAGTATGTCAAATTTAATACATAGTGAAGACAGATTAATTGATGGTGTCTGTGTTGAAAGTGGTGAATGCCAGCTAAATAGAATCCTTTTTTTAATGATTGCCAAATACATTAAAATCAAAATTAGTAAATTATTCAGGAAAAATGCGTTTACAAAATACAAGAAACTTTGTTTAAATTTGCAGTTTCTTTTAGCTTTTTCTTTGGCAAATGTAATTGATGAAGTTCCGACGAGTACAGTTGATCAACATCTTAATCAATTTATTGACAAATCATTTGGTCTTTTATATAACACAGGTTAAAATTTTCTTTATTAATCATGAGTTTTGGTCATTGTATAATAGTATTAACTCAGGTGGTGATGTATTATACAAAATTCAATTTGTGACGATCAGTCGCAACCACAATTGTCATTGTTATCATCGAACAGCTTCGGTAAATCTTGTCAATGTTTATTTGCATGGCACAGAACTTTTCAATTCTTTAAAAATCTTACCAATGAATCAACAACAATTATTAGGAATCAATGTCGATTCATGAATTAGCTTTTCGGAACAAGGGTAAAAAGTGAAAATCAACAAGGGTAAGCCCTGATTTGAAGCTTCTTTCTTTTTGACGTTTATCTTCTGACAAATATGAAATGTTCACATCCCTCGACACTAACTCTAGTTTCTCATTAACATTATAGGTGTCATCGAACAATTAAGAACAAATGGTCAAGAATTAATTACTTTGCATTGTTACACTTCTTAGTCGCACGTCTAAAAATAAATACTTCACTTGTTTTCTAAGTGTATTAAAAGTTTAGTCATTTCGACATTAAAAAATATTGAAAAGAACTGATGATGTTAATACATTTGAGGGCTCGAAACTAGATTGACTTGGACGTTAAATCACTCTAGTCAAATCCAATCGATTTGACATTGAATTTTTGCAAAACTAGGTGGAATCGGATGGACTACAAATACCTTTGTCCAATATCTCCTATGGATTAGAAACATATAAAAAAAAGAAACGATGAAAAAGAAAATTTGAACTATAGTCTCTCATAGTTTGATAAGTACGGGCAAAGTATAGGTAATTCTTTATTTTATGTAGAGAACAGATTAGATGAATTAGTAATTACCGTCTTGAAATCTTTTCCGCAAAGACGGTTCTGATTATCCTACTGAAATAGCCATTGAGTAACAGTCGAACACGATAAGAACAAAAATCAGAACGACCTAATAACAGTTCTTAATGATGAAAAATGATCGCGAAGTTCTAAAATAAAGAGCAATGATTAAAATTTTCAGATATACATTTGTAATTGACATCAATCAAATGGGCTTCATCATTTTATATGAAACTAATAATGGACTCAGATGTAAAAGGAAACAATGCTATTTCATACTTTATGAAAAAGTTCGTAAATTATTGGAACAGAAATATTCGCAGCGAATGTGTAATCAAGCGATGTAGACATATACTATAAGTTGAATATTGTTTGTTAGTTTCAGAATTTTTTTCGGTGACCGTTTATTTACAAGCTCATAACTCTTTTCAATGAGAATCTATGTGATAAAAGTATTTTGAATTGTTAAAGATATGTGTGTGCCAAAAGAGCAGATTAAACCTAAAATAATATCAGGATGTGGATCTGAGTGCGGGACTTAGATATAGCTCGTTTCGTCATCCACACTCCATCCAAAAGTGTACCAAGAGATTTCACCAGCTTTCAAAAGATTTTGATCAAAAGGAATATAGTATGATCTTAAATATGCCTAACAGCACTAAACTGTTGTTTCTTTCGATACAGTTATTAAATGAGCACGCTTAGATGCAAAAAAGGAGGGAAAACTGAGTCAAAAAATAATAAAAACAAGAAAGTCAAAAAGAAAACGTTAGTGTTACGTTGAAAATATTTTATGTGTTCTTTAATTTTGTCTTTTTGTGAAAAATAGTTTTTTTAATTGTTAAATTTCACATCTGTTTCTTATACAAACAAAAACAAAAAACCGTCACAAGAAACAAATTGTCTTTTCAATAATCATTTGAAACTTAAATTTTCTGTGATTACCATGCACTGTAGTAAATAAATCTTTCTGTTTTGCTTTCCAAAAAGAAATCTCTCCTTAGGAAAAGTTTTTATCTAGCACTTCATCAGTTCTTTCGATTATTATCTGTTTACTATTTGCAGAGTTATTCTATTCTGTCATAAATTTAAACACCATATTAGTATTCTAAGAAAAATTAATTTCGTATTATTCTTGTAGGACCATGCTGTGACTTTTTGAAAAATGAACAATCAAAATTTGATATACAAGACGACATGTATGTTAATTTATTTGTTAACAAACGATGATATTAAAGTGCTTCCTGTTGATGCACTTGATAACGAGAACGACGGTTCAATGGTTAATCCTTCAGCATTGATGTCATCGTTCATCAAACATTATTATAATCAAGCCAATATTGAACCGAAAGATAACTATCACTTTCTTTCTTTCGACTCATTAATTATCATACAATTAAATTTTATGACTAAAATCGTTTTCTTTATTTCTGTATTATAAAGATCCGTTCTTTGCATCTTCTGGTGATTAATTGAGCACGTGACATCATTTCTATTCGATCATTTTTACATGTTTCTACGATTGATTATCTTAATGGTAGTTGTAGAAATAATTGTTAACAATACACTTTCTATTTTTAAACGCTTATTTTAATTTTGCAAAATGCTTGCTATCGTCGTGCAATATTATTTTTTCTATTCAGACATCAGCTATCATTATATATATTTTTTTGATATATTCGGTTTTCTGCAATTAATATGAAGAAGCACACACTTACCTCTATAGTATTACTTCATTTCGTTCAGACAATGTGATGTATTTAGATTTGTAGCAGATCTTTGCAACAGCTAAGAAATTCTTTATTGATACGTTAGTGTATTATTCAAGAAAATATCACTCTCTTCTTTTGCAATAGTTTTTGAAAACGTTTATGAATTTTCTTTTTTTTTTCTAGATTTTCTTACATTTTCACAGTGTAATATTGTCCAAAGTGGTTCCTTATGACTACTAATCAAGGATCAATATCGAAAAATTATCTAGTTTTGCTGAATGCTAACTTCGACTCATTAAATAATCGACCTTCATTTGATGCCAAATTATTATTGAATGAAAATCTGGATTGGTTTCTAATCGAATATTTGAACGAAATAGAGTTAATGGGGTTTTCTAATGAAAAAGTTTTGAATGCTTTTCTTACCATGATTGGTGGTTTATCTGATAATAGGTTTTGTCATAATTTGTTGACCAGTTTAGTTGTTTGGCTCAACATTTATTTTCATATAGGTGATACTACCGGTATGTAAATATCTGTTTTATTTCCATTTTGAGAAGCGCAATAAAAGTCTCTGATCAATTTGATAGTATTCAACAGTAAAATCTTTAGAATAACACAAGAACTTCGGCTGTTTTACCAATATGAGATTCATTTTTAGGTTACAGATACCGTTTTTTCACAGTCTCCCACGAAATAACTAACTAAATAAATTAACTTATTGAATATATTTGCCTAGAATTTCATTTTTCTAGTGAATTTTCGACTTTAGATCGGTTTATTCTTGCATTCATTACAGCGCTATATTTTGAATTAGAAACTGACTTAAATAAGTCGAGTATCTGTCAACTTGAATACATTTTCCACTATCATGTTAAATTAAGAAATCTTGTCTTCATTGGTAGCTGAAGACCATATAGGATAATTTGTAAAAGTGAAAAGCCTTATTTCATCGGTTACCAATATATTAGCAACTCTTGTTTCCACAATTTTCGAAATTTGCATAACTGATAGGTCGTGTTTAGTTCTTCATTTTGGAAATGTTAGCTATAAGTTCAAAGATACCAATACAAGGAAAAAAGTGAGGGTGTCTGTGTGGATATGGACTTAGATTGCAAGGTACATCTATACCCCACTCCAAAATGCATATGTGGTATTTAGGCAATCGGTACAAGATACTGATCAGTGTTCGACATGGGTCACTTTTTTAGTGACCCGACCCGACACGACCCGAGGATAAGAATTTTTTTCAAGATCCAACCCGACCCGATCC